ACTAATTATAGATTTATGAAGCCTATATCTTAAAATTCTAAATTCTAAAAAATGTTTTGACACCTAAAACCCCTAAACACTCAAAACTAAACCTTAATATAACATAGTTAACCCACACATAAATTATATAATGAAAAAAATAATTTTTAAAAAGTGGCAATTTTGTAAAGATTTCAAAAGCGTGGTATTTTTGTAAAGTGGCACTTGGAAAGTGGCATTTTTTGAAATTTTTCTTATAACAATTTGGTTTACACTTTTAAAAAAATAAATTTTTCTTTTTCAAAAACAATTTGGTTTATACTACTATATAGCATCGCCATTTTGTTATGCAAACATTATTTGTTTTCAACGATTAAAATATTTAATTGTTTTAAATCTGCAAATTTAACAATAGTTGAAACTTCAACAGGCTGGATTCTTCAATTGTGGTAATAAGTATAGCGGAGACAAACATTTACGGCATATGATGATTGTCTCTCATAATCATCATCATTGTCAACAACGTAGTTATAAATTCACTCATTTAGTTTAATTAAATTATTATTTCCTGGTCTTGGGTACGTTTTTTGGTCATTAAGTGGTTCGACGACAAAAGTAAACCTCATGCGGTCGACTCATGCGTTAAAACAAGAAAATCTGAAAAGTAGTTTGATTTTCTTTCTTATTTTCATAAAAAGAAGTTTGAATTCAATTCACTCAACCGTTTTATTTAGCATTCATTAATTAATTTACTCAGTGACACTTAAAATAAAATAAAAAGGCATGTCGAAATGAATGAAAGCTTTTTTTATTTTGAAAAGAAGAAAGTGAAAAAAAGAAAGTAAAAGTTTTTAAAGTGTGCAACAAGCGTGACTCTTGGCCTTTAGAGTCATTAAGAAGAGTAATCATTTTCTCCTCTTTTTCGACGATAGCAATCAAAAGGATAGATTTTTAATTTTCTTGCTCCCTCTATTTTTAAAAAATGTCATTTTAACTATTTTCACATAAATTAAAACAAAATAAAAATATTTACTTTACCTCTTGTTAGTATACTAAATAAAATTTTCTTTTTAATTAATACATTCTCTATTTCAAAATATAGGTTGTTTTAGAGGTTTTTTTGTTTCAAAATGTAAGTTATTTTGGTAATTCTAGATACTTTTAACTTTATTGAATATTATATGACCACTAGTATTTTGCAATTTTTTGTGTGATTGGTCAAATTATTTTTATTAAATATATTAAAAGATACTTTTTAGTAGAAAAGTAGTTTTTTAATATCTGCGTTTTTAGCTAAAACAACTTACATTTTGAAACAGAAAGAGTATATTTAAACAGTAGAGTCAAAACTAAAATTTTATTATAAATTATGTATTGAAAATACAAAACAATATTTTTGATGAAACAAAAATAAAGTAAAGTAAAGCCAAGAACATTTGATAAATTCTTGAAAAGTATTGAAAGTTTGACTAATTTTGTTGGCTGTTCATCATTTAAAAAAGAATCAGAGTGGATAAAAATGTTGATTACCAGATTTGTTGTTCTCGTTATATCAAATATTATTTGTTAAGTGGAAGAGATGTCAATTTAAAGGCATATGAATATCCTAGATTAGATATATTGGTGAAATGTAGTTTGATACTATCATCTTTGACTAAGAATATTGATGTCCTACATTAATAGTAGTATAGTATAAATATATTAAAATAATCATTAATGGTGTGACTATACTTATTACTTTCTTAGATTTGATCATTAGTTTTTGAGTTGTGAATAGAGTTAAAAGAGGGGACAAAGAAGCATAGTTTATCATTATAAAATTATTTCTATAAAACTTAAAGGTCATGAATAATTAATTTAATAATTATTTTGCCCCCAAGCTAGTCACACACTCATGATTG